ATGACTAATTAAATCATTAACTAATTGACTAACAATTGATTTATTGGTTGACTGATTTATTGGTTGATTCTTTTATTGTTTCTTCCACAGCCGTGAGCTTATTCAATTCTTCAGTGCTTACTGTCTTGCCAGTTGAGATCCGAAATTCGGATAGGGAGGTCACTACAGCCACAGTCATCTCCATGTAAGTGTGCAGATGGTTGGTGGGTACTCTGCTGTGGATTGCTCCTTCTTTCCTATCAAATGTCCATCGTCCTGATTTGTCCTCCTTTTTTTTGTGTTTGTTACTTTCTTGTAACACCTCTAATCTTCGGCACTTGGATGGCCTTATTGTGTTGCAAGTGCCGTAAAACTCTTACTGAAACTAAAAAAAAAAAAGACTTTAAGTGTTTTTCTCTAATCATAGTCATGTCGTGAAGTTAAGTGTACTCTGATTTTTGTTCAGCTCGGACTCGATTTGGAAGAATCTAATTCAGTATTCACAGAGCCAGCACTTGTGGTGTAGCAGTCAGGCGCTTCACTGGCGCAAGCAGGAGACCTGAGTTCGATTGCCAAGTGGGGAGAAATTTATGCAGTATCTTAATCTTTTCTTTTTCATTGGGCAGGATAATGTGTCCTTCTCAGCCCACAGGTTGGTCGTGACAGGCAATGTCGAAAGCTTGCCTCCAAAATAATTTAAATTGTATTGACAAGGGAATAAAAAATGCGTAAAAAATCCTACATTTAAAATGAAAAGTAATGTAGCCCAAAAAAAGTTTGCCGACAATGACAGCTGAGCAAGTGAATTGTTCATTTGCCAGTATAGCGGAAATTTTATGTGTATCAATGTGAAGCATATTGGCCAATAATTATATTATGTAATACGGACCAAGGAGCACTTAACCACGTATCTGTAGGGTTTTGTTAAAATCGTTTCTCAATGGAAACAAAGAGTCGGTTGTCTTTAACACTTACAGAACCGAAAGTTCATATAGTGAAAAACCCTCAAGTGCCGCATCAGTTTAGAACGCTGAAGCCGTTGTAGAATATTTTTAAAAATTAATGCCACCTAACCCCTACGTTACCTATATAACGAACGGCATTTGTAATTTTTGGAGCCAAGATGCCGTTGTAGAGAACGGCATTGTCATGCCTTGCGGAGTGCGAGGACCATGATGACGAACGCTGTTCATCCTAGGTTGTATTCTGCACACTGCTTGTATTAGATGCATTTGGTAAAACCGATCCCACATTCACTTACAGTGATATTTTTCTCTACAAAGAAATCTTTTTCTTTTGCAGATAGTAGTAGCAGAGAGTTTACAGTGAACCCTCTCTGGTAGTAGTTATAAATCAGGCAACTGACCACTAAATCTCGCCCTACTCTTTTTCCATCGGGATCCCGAACTGCGCCTGGTGAAGCGTGAACTGATCTTGGTTTCGAAGGGGTTAAAAGGTTGTTCTTGCCCTCCTGGCTGATTATGGATCAGGTTTTCAGCCTGTAGTGACTGTGGAAATGGATGTGACAGTTTCCAAACAACAAATTAAATACATTTTCTGTCCCCTCTTTTTTTTTCTTTTTCTTCGACCTCCATTATCAATATTTATTCTTGTATGCTTTTTTAAATTTTCTTTTCTTTTTTCTTTGCTCTTTTTTGCATACAGTCGAACCTGCTCTGCGGGCCACCTGTCCAAGACAATCACCTGTACAAACAATCACTTCTCACTCCCCCCCCCTTCCCCCTTGTATGTTTTCGACATTGTAATGACGCTGTCCAAGACTACCTCTTTTCTTCAAGGCAATTCCGCAATGGGTGGCTGTCTTGGACGGTTTCAACTGTATATATATCTTTTTTTTTCCATCCATCCTTTCAGCAAAATAATTTTCTCCCCTTTTTTTCTGTATTCCGCAGTGTTGTTTGACTGTTTATGTATGTAATATTTGTATTTCTGCAAAATAATTTTCAATACTTTTTTTATGTTCCATAGCATGGTTTTAGCTGTTATAGACGTCTAGTACTTTTTTTATTCGAGAAAAATAATTGTGTAGGTGGTTGGCGGATGCTCTGGTGTGGTTTGCTCCTTCTTTCCTGTCAAACATCTATCGTCCTGATCTCTCCTCCTTCTTTTTTATGTTTGTTACTCTCTTGTAACACCTCTAATCTTCAGAACTTATATGACCTTATTGTGTTGCAAGTGCCGTAAAACTCTTACTAACACTTAAAAAAATAATTGTCTATACATTTTTTCTGTCTTCCACAGCGTGGTTTTAGCTATCATTATAATTTTTGTATTCCTGGGCACATCCCTGGATATATTCCTCGTCCAGCGACCCCGCTGGCAGTTGGAGGCACAGGCTCAGAAGGATGGCATGGTCTCCAACACAGAGAAGCCCATAGCTCAAGAATATCATCCAATCGAAGGACAGGATAGTGTTCAGAGTCAGATGGAAGACCGTGAGTCAACACCTCTTCTGGATAAATTCTTGCCCCCTCCCACAAGAAATGTGTCAGGTTGTTATTGAAACTTTATCCTTGTCAAATGATTATGAGTTACCACACATTCTAGCATGCAGATTTTGAAATTGGAGGGCTGCAGAAACCTTTTCATTATGTACGAATTTTGCTTTGTACTATTTAATGGAAAGAATTTGCACGTATAAGATAAAATTCGGGTCTTGAAAAATCTAATAGATATGATGTGTGTATTTTGCTGTGTCAATGCTTGTTATGTGTGTGCTAAACTGGAAACATTCACCTATAACTCTAACCCACATATAATATGGGGTAAAACTTTGATGGTGAAATCTGCCCAATTCTGAAGGCTGAGCAGGTAATAAGGAGAAAATTATGGACATAAAAATTGTTGAGCCCAAAAATTTGCCCCAAAAGCGAAAAAATGTTTGGTTATTTTTATTCCATATTTGGTTATTTTTATTCCATATTTTTAAACCAGCTCAACACTCCTCTCCTGTGGGTGGTTGGTGGGTGCTTTGGTGTGGTTTGCTTCTTCTTTCCTATCAAACATCTATCGTCCTTATCTCGCCTTTTTCTTTTTTGTGTTTGTTACTCTCTTGTAACACCTCTAATCTTCTGGTGCTCATATGACCTTATGCAGTTGCGAGCGCCGTAAAACTTCTACTAAAACAACTCCTCTCCTGATAAATTGTATCTATTAATTAGCCAGTGAATTTAAATTGTCTAGCCTTATTTTTTAAATAAAATTAGCTTATCAATTAATTACTCCCGTATTTTTACATCTGACTGATCAAGTCAATTTATGCTCGCTACACAGCAATTTCTTGGGTGGTATATGGTGCTTTGTAGTTTTAGTAGTCAGTGTTTTATGATTATGAATGTAGCCAGCACATGTAGGGTTGAGATTCAAATTTGAGTGGGGTTGAAATTTTTATTCTCATGCCTCTAATATGTGAGGCACCTCGATGGAGTCAGGCACTCATCAAAATAATGAAATTGAGGATATCGACATTTTTCCCCAGGGTTGTGGCATTTTTAAACGAATTTTGTTTATTGGCTCAACACCTTTTATGTTCATTTAAAAACACATTTTTGTGTGAATTGTACTGAAAAGAATTGTTAAAGACTCAAAAAAGGTAAATTTTCAGTTTTCAAGGACTTCCTTTGGAAATCACCAAAATTTGGTGGCCATTTTCTAACTTTACCCCTGAAACCAGGCAAGCCCCCCTTGTTCAATTGCAAATTTCTCAACTTCTATTCAAGATACATGGGTATTTTTTTCAGTGAAGGATAGACAAATGAACAAGCTTTTACAAGGGTACCAATAACTCCACATGCCTAAAAATTGACGAGCGCCTGATTCCACAGAGTCGTGACTCATAATATGCTTCTTCCCCCATGTTGTTGTCCTGATAAAGGGACAAGTGCTCAGTTTTCAAAGGAAACAGATTCCACAGAGCAAGGGAGGGTGTTTCATCAAAAGAAAGAAAAGTCTGTTACAATGCAAATGGGCGAAATTACCTTGATAAGTGTGCTGATAGACTGAGTACAACCCCAATAGTTCTTTATTTCCAAGTCCTACTTTATAAATGCCCCTCTTTTGTCTCTTTTGCCGGCTTTGAGTGATTATTATGGTGCAGATGTACTTCTCTTTGACTCAAACAAACAAACCATGTTATTGTTTCCGATTGTCAATAATAATCCAGCGATATATAGGTTTTTACTCGGATATCTTGTGGTTTGAAAAGCCGGACTTTTTAGGTTCCCTTGATGTCATACTGTTCCGGAGCATTATATGATAAATTGTATGTCTGGTGTTCAGAAGGAGAAGAACAGTTTTTATAGCCAATAAGCTAAAACAATGTCAAGATAATATGATAAGAATATTGAATTTTGCACACTCTCAATAATTGCAAGGGTTGTCCGAAAAGCAAGGTGAACACACCCCT